CACTTTATTACAAAAAAAGTATATATATATATATATATATATATATATATATTGTTTTACTATAAAAACCAATGAACATGTTCTCTACAAAGAGTAAAGAATGTTCATATGTCCAACAACAACATTTCCACTTCTACATCTCTTCTTCCTGGTTCTCATCCTCAGGTGTCTCCGACCTGCGACCAGGTTCTGGTGAGCGGTAAGGAGATGCGCGGAATGCACTCCTTGGCGGTGAACTTCACCTACCTCCACCTGTCCGCTCAGCTGCAGCTCAACATCTGGGTTCCCAAATTTCCTCTGCAGATCGTCGTGTCCGACACCGAGCTGAGCCAGGTCAAAGGTTGGCGGGTACCGATCGTCAACAACAGAAGGTACTGAGCGCTGGTGACACTAACCATAAGCCTAACCCTAACTCTGTTACAAATTTGGTTTAAAAAAAAGTCAAAGGTTTTAATTTAAAATGTCTGTCCTACCTGACGACACACACGCTCGTTCCCAGAGTTGTTGTCAAACCTCTGGGATCTTCTCATACGACCCTTCACGCTCCTCTGGTTCTCCTCTCATCGTACATTTGCCTCCGCGTTGTTTACCGACATGACTTTTCTTTTGTTTATTTTGTGACAGAGTATGTGTGTATATTTGTGTGTGTGTGTCGTTTCTACCACCAACCCCCCCCCCCACACACACACACACACACACCTCTTCACAACCACACACACACATCTGTTCTGCTAGGTCTGTTTTTCAATTTTGCCAATTTCTGCTCAGATAGCTTCGACCACTAGGAGACGCACACACACACACACACACACACACACACACACACACACTGGCACGTCTGGGCCAGTTGGAAATGGAAAGAGAATTCTTCTAATAAAACCTGGCTTTGGCTCCGTAAGACAGTGACAGTGTTTGTTGTCGTGGTGGGGGCTGGGTATCTACGACTCAGACAAAGAATTCCTTTAATTCCTGCAGGATAATGTTAGAGGAACAAAGAGTGAAATAGTAGAGAAAAGCAACAGTAATAAAAGAAAATAATAATAAAAAAAGGTGTAAAAACCTCCAGGAGGATGACGGAGAAAAAAAAATAGGAAGAAGAAAAGGAAATGAGAGAAAGAAGCAGTGAGAACGAGGGGAAGAAGAAGAACAACAACAACAAAGGAAGTCTCTCTCTGATTGGACGGTTCAGACACCGACCATTTTTCTCTGTATTTTTTCTTGGTTCACTGACTGAGGTTCTCACCAGGAGCGGAGATTATAAATGACCTGAAGCTCAGATTATGTTGTGTTTAATTACCAAATAATCTCTAACTTTTCTAATTTCCCTCATCGCCCCCTTCAGACCGACCAGGGACAGTGAAGACGATGAGGACGAAGATAGGAAGGGCAAAGGCTGTACGCTGCAGGTATTCAAACTTCCTGCTCATTTTCACACCATCGTTTCACTGTCTCTGTTTTCAAAATACAAAAATAAAACTTTGTTTGTACTCTCATGTCTTTGCAGTACCAGTACGCGTTGGTGCGGGTTCTGACTCATTTTGTTGCAGAAATCTCAGAGCTAGAAGAAGATATTGTCTACATGCTCCATTCTGACTGGCAGGCTGATATCACCCACCTGGTTTTGGACCAGTTGAAGGTACAAGTGCTAGTGTTGGTACTGTGATAGAAATACATCAGTACTACAGTTCACCAGGAAACACGTAGTTAATATAGGACCCATATTTAAAAAGTCACGAACCTTCATGACCCAAGTCAGTAGACATTATTCGTAAACTCCTGGGAAACATGACCCAAAACAAAAACTCATGTGACCCACCTGAGGGTCGCAACCCAGTCTTTGGGAAACAATGTACCACTTTTTTTCATTTCTTTTTTATAAAGCCTAGAGTAATGTTTGAATCACCAATTAAATTACTACCACAGGGGGGCAGACTGTGGCCTAGTACTTACAGGTTTCCATCACAGAGTTGCTGGTTTGAATCTCATGAACAGTAGGGAGGACCGATGTTTGAGGAGACCCCAGACGAGATGTTAAATTACACATACAAACATGTTCTTTGGTCTCTGTGCTCCACAGATAGAAGATACCAGAATCGCCCAACTGATAGACGGACGGATTCTGGTTGGACGGAACTTGGGAATCACCAACCTACAGGTGTGTGTTGGTCATCATCTCCACCTCCTCTCTGCTCCTTCTGTCGTTAGAAGCACCTCCTGCCAGTTTGGTGCACACTTAGTCACATTAGATATATTAGATGCATTAGATACATTAGCTATCCGATTTGGCCCTGACATTTCAGGGCGATGTCAAGTAATCACACACACACACACACACACACACACACTCAGACATTCCATTATGGCTGAATTTGATACTGCTCCACTTTGCTGTAGTCTACAATACTGATGTACTAGGATCTGACCCAGGTGGTACTGGTAGGTGTTTTTTGTTTTTTGTTTTTTTGTTGTTGTTTTTTTTATCATGACACAAGCAACTTATGTTTGTGACCAGGAGTTAGAGTTAAAGTTTTAAATTATTGAAGTAGTGATTTAGTACTGTGTTATACTTGGACGTGTGCAGGAAATTTTGGTCTGCAGTGAGCTCTAAATTAGATTATCATACTCTAACATATAAGATATATATGTATATCTCTCTCTCTATATATGTATATATATGCATATGTACATATATCGCTATATATGTATGGAAAATACATATGTATATCTCTATATATGTATGTAAATGTATACATATGTATATTTCTATATATGTATGTAAATAAACATATGTATATATCTATATATGTATGTAAATATACATATGTATATCTTTATGTATGTGTGGAAAATATACAGTACATATATCTCTATATATGTGTGGAAATATATATAAATGGAAATATATACACATGTATATTTTTATATATCTGGAAATATACATATGTATATCTCTGTATATGTATGAAAATATATACAGTACATATATCCCTATATATGTATGGAAATATATACACGTATATTTCTATATATCTATGTAAATAAACATATGTATATATCTATATATGTATGGAAATATACATATGTATATCTTTATGTATATATGAAAATATATACAGTACATATATCTCTATATATGTATGGAAATATATATATATATATGTATATATATATATGTATATATATATATGTTTATGTGTTTGTTTGTATCTGTGTGTATACTTCTGGTATAGCAGATTTGCGGGTACATTTAGTCGACTAAACTTTTGTGCTGTTGTAATAAGGACTTTTTTTTTTTTTTTTTGATTTTCCAGGTTTAGTTTGGAGGTTAGGGTTTGATTTATGATGATTTAGGGTAAGGATTAGGATTAGGATTAGGCAGGTATTTCTACAGATATTAGGGTTGGAGCTTGGAATCGCACATGTGTTTTTGTGAGCTGCATACAAACACAAGAACAAGTATTTATGTGTGTGTATGTTTATCTGGCATAGCTATACTTGTGGGGACCATGTTTTTAAATAACACCAGACATTATGCCTTTGTGAAGTGCTAACTAACCATAAAGGGTGTATGTGCGCGTGTGTGTGTCAGATGGTTGAAGTGTTTGTGACATTGCTGTAACTACACCACAGCACAAACACAGATGTGTGCACAGGGGGCAGATGTGCGGTGTTTGAAACCTGTCGTCTGTTGGTTTTGACATTTCAATTTTGCCCCAGGCTCTGCCTCCTGCAGCCATGCCGTTGTCTCTCTCTCTTCCTGTCTCCCTCTTCCTCTCACTCTTTGTCTGTCGCCCTCTCCTCCCCCTTCCCCCCCCAACCTCACCTCTTCTTTGCCTTGTTATTTGCCATCTTGCAGAGCAATCTCTGGGCTGTCAATCACCGCATTTTGTTGCCCCGCTGAAGGGGGGATTGAGTTTGACGCCTCGACTCGTTCACTGAGAGATGGTCTTTGTACACAAATCAGATCTGTCTGTCCTGCTGTCGCTGGACGGAGTCGTACCTCACAACACACAGCTCCTAATCTCACTCACTGTCTGTCTTCTCTTCCCTCTACCATTTCTCTCACTCTCTCTCTCTCTCTCTCTCTCTCCCAACCTCAGTCTCTCTGCTCTCTCTCCCCTCTCCG